TTGTATCACTTTAAACTTAATACAGTAATACTAATTATAGTATTCCTGATATCTAACCGTAGAATTAAAATGGTATACACACACAAATTTAGTTCTTTTAAAAATCGACTACAACGTCGCAATCTCATCTACTTTGACCGCAATAATCGATTGAAAAGAAAAAAAGAGTAGGGTGTTTATTTTAAGCACAGTGAGCTGTCCTAAACCTACAAAGTCAAATGCCTCAAAAGAAAACATTGGCCAATGTGTCACTGTTACATCATATGAGATTTACTAATAACACAACTCATCGTCGTCATTACCAAGAAAAAACTCCCCTAAACACAAATTATTAGCACGTCAAAACTCATAACTAGTCAACATTACTAGTAGTAACGTATTCATTAAAACAACACAAAAATACAAAAAAAGTGAAGATAGTATTATAGTAATGGAAAAGAGAAGAGAGTGCTTTCAAAGACGCTTCCCTCGAATAAACACAAAGAGGTGACAGCCGTTATTAATACCGCCTGTCGTACTTTGTTTTCTCTACAGACCACACACACACACTCTCTTTGCTTACGACTTCCGAGACAAAGAGATAGAGAGAGAGAGACTGCAAAAAAAAAAAAAAAAAAGAATTCTTGTAAAGCTTTTGCCTTTTAGAGGAAAGAACAGTGCCAGATCTTAGAAGGATCCGAAGACCCATAAGGAGCAAAAAAGCAACAAAATAACTTTTAACAAGTCAAAAAAAAAGACAAAGAAAAATCTTATTATTACCCACAAGACAACAAACTTTGCATTCCAAATAAAACTCACTTCTCTCTTCTTCTTCTTCTTCTACTTCTCCTTCTTCTCTCTTGTTTTTTTTCGCTTTGACTTCTTTTCACTGTCCCTTTGTCTTCATGTTCGTCAGTTTCTTGTTACTCCGGAACAAGGCTTTTGTGAGATGACGACTCACGTGTTTGTACCAAGAGAGAGACATGGAAATAACAGAACAAGATGGGACAAGAACTTCTTGAACATGTGTTCCTTCTTTTTCTTCTTTCTCTTCTTTGTCAGTTTTCAGATAGGTTTGTCTTCGTCAGCTTCTTCTTCTTCTGTTGGTTTTTCTCGTCGTCACTTCGTCGTGTCTCCGTCGCCACCGTCGAGAAAGGCTCTGAGCTACAGTACTACTACTACTACTACGGCGACGTTTCGTGGGCCATTGAGAAGAGTAGATGACATTTATGGAGACGACAAGAGAGTAGTTCACACGGGTCCCAATCCTCTCCACAACTAACTTTTTACGCGTTGCTATTATTATCACTTACCCTCCCTTCACCCACCACCTACGAGGGCTACGAAGTAAAACGCAAACGTGGAACGCCAATCGCGATCCGAAGGTACTGGCGTTTATGTAAAATCGTGTTTGTTATAGATTTTGTAAGTTTGGAGATCCTATTTTTTTGTTTTTTTTTTAATTCATGGAGCATAGAGAAACGATTATATTTAGCTTTTAGGGTAGGGATTGTGTTCGGCTATATTCAACTCTTTTAATGTTAGTATTGAGAATTTATAACTAAAGGAGATTAAATTATCTTGATACTTTATATAACTAAAGAGGAAAATTCTAAACTGGTTACAAGTGTTGCAACGGTTACAATGTTGTTTGTGGTTTATTCGGTGTGTTATAACTAAAGAGAAATCAATAACTTAGAAATATTGAGTTGTCTTTTATTTGGTGTGTTATGTTTCAAGAATTGTGAGATGGTTTGGATATTTAGTGGTTGAAATTTGAGAAGGCTAGTGCAAAACATTCACACATCTCATTTGGTGTGTGATGTTTTAAGAAAGGAGATGGTATGGTGTTACTGTCTGTCTTGGTGGTTGTAACTTGAGAAGACTAGAACAGAAGAAGCTTTGCTGTGTACTGTTTAAAGAAATGAGTAATATGGTTTTAGTAATTGGAATTTGAGAAAGTGTGTGCAGAAGAAGCTCTGAATCATATTTAGCTTCCTTGTTCAGCATCTACCCTCATAAATAAATCCATAACTTTTCTCTTTGCTCTCAACATATACCTACCCCTACTAATTGAGTAAGTGGGAATAGTTCTCTCTCATATTACTATTACCATTACCATCTTTTTATATAACCTATTTAATTATTTTGAGTACCCTAAAAGTTTGAGATTTACTTCAACTGCTCAGTGGCAAACAAACAAAAAAGGTTAAACTAACTGTTCAACACTATCCATTGAGTATGGACACATCTGCAAAGCGTACAAAACAGCACCCATCTCAAAATATTTTATCACTCGAATTTCAAAATTGCGTAAAAGCATTCACAACCGTGGTTTCGTGGGGATTACATCTTCCGACAGAAGTGGCATTTAGGTTTAGGTTTCGGCATAACAAAGCTTGCACTATTAGTTTCAAAGTAAAGGGATTCCTTCGATACCCGATCAACCAAGGTCTTTTACCAGCTTTTTGCATTATATCCATCACAGTCGTTTTTTTAAGAGAAACAATGTATTAGTTACCTAAGAGTTAAAAGGTACTTTACATTAGTGTTATAGCTTTTAACAAACAAACAAATAAATAAGGGTAAAAAGATGCTAGTATAAATGGATTGAAATCTTTTAAGACATACTAAAATTTAACAGTAATAATTACATATTAAAAATCATTTTACTGCCATTACATATTAAAAATCATTTTACTGCCATATCAGGAAAAAGAGAGGTGAAAACCACTTCCAAAAATGGTCTAGCCTTCTAGGGCTGTGAGAAGTGAATGGAAAAAAAAAGTTTGCAACAAAATCGAAGTATGAAATATTCATATCATCCATATTTTATATAAACAAGATATGTTTCAACTAAACTAAGTAAAACATTTTTTTTTGTCGTAATCGTTCATTTTATCTTAGCATATATACGTGTTTAACATTGAAACTAGTTAATGAATGAAAGAAATAACGAGATTGAGTGACCGAGGTTGATATTATTTGTTTGCTATAAAGGACACATGCATATATTATATATGTATGTGGAGAAGAGAAATGTTCAGGCCAGGGCTGTGGTCTGGTGTCTGTGACACTGTCCATCTTCTTTATTGCTCCCATCTGCCTCTCTTCTTTACCTTTTTCCTATTTCTACATAATCCTCACTTTTCTAGCTACATCTTCTTAACTATACGCAGTCACGTCAATAAATGTCTACAAGCTTGAACGTTCGGTATGGCGTTTTTCATTTTTTTTTGTTTTTTTTTTTGCAAATCCGTTACAAGTAAAAATATCTAGGCCAATGAGACAATATGACCAAGTAAATTTTATGTGCAGTGTGTTGCAGACGATGAATTCAAACATAATGCCATAGCGGCTTTACGTCCTTGGTCATAGAACCGATGCCACACGGGTTTTCATGTCTTGTTGCTTGTTACTACGGCGTGTGTTTTTGTTAAACATGAATTAGTAACGTTTTATGTATATGAAATGCATGCAATTGCTAAGATTCCGAGTTGTATTGTATTTTATTATTATTATTATTATTTTTTTTTTTTTGTAAACCCTCCGAGTTGTATTGTATATAAATCAAATAGACTAGAGAACCAATTCGAATATTGTGTCGTGGTAAAGACAAAATCGACATACAAAAAATAAAAAATAAAGATGAAAACATAGTATAAACTTGAATTTTGAGACCGCGTTTGATTTTCAACCATTGGGAATTGTGTAATTAGATTTAAATATTAGTGCATCACTACTTCTTTTACTAGTATAACACATTGATATGTATTACGACGACACATAACGGTCTTAATTATGATGGACCTTCTTTTAGCACTCCCAAAGATTCTCTAGCTATATAAGTATCGGTCGAAAATATTCATTAATGCACTATTTGTTTTGACCTAAAAGTTTAAATTCATTTCATAAGAATGTGTGTTCTTTAGTATTAATTTCGGCACTCACTAGTTATTGTCTTCTTTGGGCATAGGATAGGATAGCATTTAGCCTTGTTTTTATATAGAAACTAGTTAATGTTAATAAAACGGTGTTTGATCATTTAATGACTTCGCAATAACTTGTATTTATAACCAAAAATTGATAACTTGTGCATTTTCTTATGTAGTTGTGAAAAATAAAATAAAAAACAAATCTTAGGTACTTCTGTTTTCTCTCATGCATTTATTTGTTTTATGTATACACCTATTCTTGTTTGTTGTTTTTCTCACAATAATATGTAATTAAATTAGTTTCTTAAAGAAGTTTTTTTTTTCAAATATTATGGTTACTTAATTAATTATCAAAATTCCTGGTAATTCAATTTTTGTTTGTTTAGTATTGATTAGTTTTTCATTTTTCGTAAGGAAGTGATGTATGTAATATATGGAGTATTTCTGTATAATAATACAAATGACTTATGAGTTATCTTTTCCCAAAAAAAAAAAGACATGAGTTATGACCAAGAAATACGAACATAAATATATATCAAGACATTAATGACTTATGCTAGTATTGTTGATATGTCGCCATTTATATTTAAATCCAAGAATATTTATTATGGCTCTTATTATATACGTTCAATTTAAATGATAGGTGACCTAAATCATAAGGATTTGCACCACCACTTTTCTTTCCATGATCATTTATTTCAATTTAGAATACTGGTTATATATATCTTTCTTTTTTTTTTGTTTTCAAATACATACTAGAGTAAGACTAGCAAAGTTCTATATCATATTAAAAATATGTTTGACATAAACTAGCAATTTAAAATATTGAATAATAAACAAATACATTTCGACCATACATTAATAAATATTGGAGAACTAAACAAGACTAAGCCCGTTAAGGTAGCAACATCTGGCTCAATCCCGTAAGGTAGCAATATTGGGCTCAATCCATATATGGCCCATATGCTTAAGAGTAAAAGAAACAGAACCGGATTAAACCGGGGATTCGGTACGAGAAACAGCCGACTTGTAGTTTTGTTTTGTAGAAAGAATATGCCATAAGAGTCAAAACAAGAAGATTCGTGACTCATCTCTGTCGCTATTTCCTTTTCTTCTTCTTCTACTTCTCCTTTTTTTTTTTCCAAAACTCTTTTACATATTTGTTACTTCCATTATTATCTTTTATAAATCTTCATCGCTTTAAGGTTCAACTTCGATCTCTCTGTGTAGTTACCATCACAACATCATAAAGGTTCGTTTCTTTACTTCAAGCTATAAATTTCCTCTCACTGAGCTAAATCTGTTCTGAATTATATGATTCAATCGTATCTTTTGCTTAACATTGAATTTGAATTTATTGTTGCATGCCTGCGAGATCAATTTTTGGATATGAAACTCTGGGTTTGTTTGTTTTCACAGTGAAGCAAATCTATTTTTTAGTTTAACAGGATCTTCAAACGACTCGTGCCTATTTTTTTTTCAATCTGGCAAAAAAACTTAATTTTAAGATTTTTATTGGTTAAATTTTTTTAATGTTTGTTTCAATGTCTCTTATGTTCATATTGAAATAATTTTCAATAGTTGTAGAGTAGCAGCAGCTGAAGAAAGCAGAACCAAGCCAGGCTAGACCAGCAAGTAATTTGCTGGCTAGCTAAAGGTTTTGTCTGGGTGGGTCTTTGATATTGAATCCTTTCTTCCCTATGAGCCCTCAGAGCGTATCGAAGACGAGTAAAGCCCTTGAGGGTATCCATGGGGTTCGTGTTGTGTCTCATTCTCCTTTTGGATTTGAGAGTATCGACCAAGTGTCTGGCTTTGAGTCCGCTGATGCTGGAACTAAGCAGAGGCTATTCATTGAGTAAGTTTAAATGGTCCTTGATGCAATTATATTGTTCAGAGTTGTTGTTCATTGTATCTTGAAGTTTGGTGTTTGATTCAGTGCTCTTCTTTTTATCTTTCTGTAGACGTGTCTGGCAACAAAGACCTCCATGCTTAAGACCTATCCATTGTTGCATCCACGGTAAGTCTGACATATGCTACTTAGTTCTTTCCATCTTTGTTTTCGTCTATCTCTTTGCATCTCTGTGTGTTGTATCTCAATTGTTTTGGTATTCATTACGATATCTTGACAGGTGATCGGAGTATCTTAGAAACAGCTGCTAATGTGATCACATCCATCCCTTTCATTTTCCTCGGTATGCAGGCACCGAGGTAATCATCCCTTTTTGTCTATCTGATTTTATATATACAGTTTATGTTCTTTCAAACGATGATTGAATTTTGAACGCATATGCTCTCTCGACTATAGGAAAAACCTGAACATGAAGGTGTATGCAAACTCCTTAATTGGTGTTGGAATCGCATCGAGTTTGTATCATTCTTCAAGAGGGAAATTGAGGAAGTATCTTAGATGGGCCGATTACACAATGATAGCTACAGCAACAGTAGTAAGTCTTTAACTTTTTCCCATCCCAAAATTGCTCCCCATTGAAGATAACTAAAGCTTGCAACTTTTATTAGTACCTCAAAATCTTGAGGATGTTCTGTTTTACTTACTATCCGTTATATACTTTGATAGTGTCTAACGAGGGCTCTTAGAGAAGAGAACCAAAAGTTCTTGATGGCTGCATCAGCTTTAGCTCTACCGTTCCAGCCTCTCGTGGTATCAGCTGTTCACACTGGAATGATGGAGGTGCTAAGAAATCTCAACTTTTCACTCACATGTAACTAAAATCTCAGTTGATGCAAAATCTAACCAAATCTCTCAACTTTTGACACAGGTAGCATTTGCCAAACGAGCCTTAAAGGATCCAGATTTAAAAATGGCTCATGATGTACACAAGATGTCTTCGTTGTTGGGTGGAGCATTGTTCATAGCTGATGATCTTTTCCCTGAAACACCATTCATTCACGCTGGTTGGCATCTCGCTGCAGCCATTGGTGTTGGAACTTGCAATAAGCTTCTTCAGTAGTCCATAGTAGCATATATATTATTGAGTGACTGTGGAACTGCTACATTCTTGGTTTAGAGAGACCACTAGCACGTGTGGTTTCACTAAGCTCTTAAATCAGCCGACGTAACTAGTAATTATTGGAATACACATATTAGTTTATTTTCATCTTCTAAATTACTCAACCAAAATTATTTGTAAAGTTTTTATTTTTCATCGAGTTGATTTTATGCATATTGATGGCTTACAAGTAGCAACAAGCCTCGTGATATCTGAAGGGGCAGCGTACAACGATACTTGCAACTCTGATGTTGTGGTATATTGTGGGGAAGGAGATTACTTGAAGAAGAAGAGCTTGAAACCAGCAGAAGACCAGAAGATGACAAAGGGTAATCATGATGTATAGAAAAAGAAGTGAAAAAGAAGGGCAGATCATGATGTATGTCGGATCTGAAACATGGTTCAATAGTTTTCATATTCATAAACGCCTAACTGTCTAGCTCTCAGTCTCTGTGGACCGCACTCACTCGTTTGATTAAAAGAAACAGAACATAAGCCTACATGACAAAATGAGTTTTGTTAACCCGTTTCAACCCAGAGAGACAAGGGAAATCAAATGAAGAACAATCTCTCTCAAATCTCAATCTCAATCTCAATCTCAATCTCAATCTCAGTCTCAATCTCAAACAAACTAGAAAAGAAGAAACTCTGTTTTTATACTTGTGCATCATGTAACGTTTGTCCAAATAAGGAATATTGGTAAGCTTAAAAAGTAATATTACAAAAAGAAAAACAAAACATAATGAGCATGAATCTTTTTATTAATATATTAACAGAAGGAACAATAAAACTTCCATCTGCACAAAAAAAAATAAAAGGAAATTCCTACCAAAAAAAATAAAAATAAAAGGAAATATAACATTTCCCCTCTATATTAGATTTTCTAAAACGCGTTTTCGTTTCGATATATATATATTGGACACACTTTCATCGTTTTTTTCTTATCAAATCCTTCTTATTTCCTTGAGGTCTATCACTTTTTATTGTTGTATTCTCCACTAATCCCAAAGAATGAGTGGGAAAGTATATGTGAGCATCGGTCCAGTAGTTATGCACAAATCCACATCTAACACTGTGGAAATCAGAGTAACCCGTAAAAACGTGGTCGGATCAACCACTCCTCCTCCTCCGTTCCCAACACCTCACCTCCTTTTGAACAAAATACTTAGCTTTGATGAATACAACATGTATCCTCTTCTTTATCCAGCCCTCCCAGATCCTTACTTATGCAATATTCTCTCCTACATTATCGCTTCCGAGGCCAAGCGAGTTCCAGGACCATTGTATATCTCCCTTAACGTCACATTATCTCCACCAATATTCGAGTTACCAGAGATGGAAACATGCCCTATTTGCTTGGAAGAGGGACGAGACTTAATCTTCACGCAAAAATGTGGCCATGTGTTTCATGATTATTGTATCAACGAGTGGTTACTTTCGAGTAAGTATTGCCCTCTCTGCCGTGCTGATCTTTTGAAAGACGAGTGACGACGAGTGAGCCATGAAGAAACTGTAGGGTTGATGAAAAAAAAAAAAGAGAGAACTATAGTTTTTTTTGGTTTTGTA